AATTTTAAGAGTATTCACTTATAAGAAAGGTAAGTAGGGAAGGGAGAAAAAGAATGATGTAGTCATTATAAAGTATACATGGTGTGAGGCAAAGGTAGAGGGTCCCTTTTTCCCCAAAAAGGTCCCTCTTTCCCCAAATTTAAAGAGAAGGCAAACTCTTGGATACAGTTCCGGCATGACCTGTTTTGGACTTCTTGTAATATTCATAAAGGATGCCAAAGAACTTGGAGGAAATCTTCAGCTTCCTCTGCCAAGGACCATGGATTTTTGCCACATAGGTCCATCATTACTATAACATGACTATCAGGGCTTTTAAAAGAATAAAAGGACTAAAGAGTTTTTCTTTGGTCACTTTTGTTGGACATAGAATTATTATTTATCCTGGTTTCAGATCAAGAGTACCTCTTAAAACTCCAAATAATGTGGCTATTAAAAAAAGAGAAGACACCAGACAAATTAGGGAGCCAGGGACTACATCCCATAGCTGCAGCCAGATATCGCTTTTAACAAAATTATTGGCTCCCATGGCCTGAATGCAATTTGCACAGCATCCAAGGAAAAGTCAACCCATTTTTCTTAGGATTATCTCTGAGTTGTTTAGAAGGAAGGCCAGTTAAAATTAAGTCCTCCATTCAGAGAAAAATTGTTTTGGCAAGTATAAAGTTGGTCATGGGAGTACAGAAAGCAGCCAAGATGCTTCAAAATTCTCGCTTAGGGCAGCATTAACCATCTTTGGACATATCTGTAAGAATGTGGTTTATGAGATCATGTTGATTTACTCAGGAGGAAGGTTGGTATACAAATGCAATACAATGCAATAAACAAGAAGTCTTAGGCAACTGCTACAATTTCTTAAAGTTAGCAGGAAGGAAATAATGTCTGTTATTTTGAGGATACCCTTATCCTTAGTGGATTGTTACAAGTACTTAAGATGGAACCATACTCCACTGGAGAAAATAGTATTTACTAAGCTTTAATATTTGTTTGTATTAATTATCCAAATTTTAAAAGAACGCAGATCATGACATACATGATTTTATATACCTCTATCACATTCTCCTTTATCATTTTTAAGATAAATAGCCATATTGTTCTAGCCTCTTTATCATTTTGATTACATAGAATCTTTCTATGATTGGTGTGTATTTGTTTACCATTCCTGCACACTGTGTTGATATTTTAACTGTTATCACCAAGACTTCTGTTCCTTGTTTAATCACTACCCAGTTTCCATTATATATTCGAATTCTGATATTTTGGTCCAGTGTGTACTACTGCATTTGCTTACACTGAACTGCATTTACCATTTAAAATCTTGTTAATCCAGTTCAAAGAGAACTTTTTAGAACTCTTCACAATCAATTTTTGACTGTAACACTTCCCCATTCCCTATAAGCAAAGACTTACACTTTAAATTTAGAACAATTTTATAAACAGTAACAGTTACTTGTAAGTTCATTTATCCTGTCCTTAGAAATACAAAGAGTTGTATTCCCTTAAGTATGACAGGACCCTTAAGAAAGGGTTGTTGTTAAGTAAATGCCTAAAGTACATTATGGCTGGATCTTACCCATTTCTTCAGATACATGAAGGAGTTCAAAAGAGTTTATTCCCTTAAGTGTGACAGGACTGTGATCCTTAATGCACTGTAACTTACTAGCGGATTATATGCTTTGCATATCTGATAACGTACTTCCTAACAACTCAAAATTAGGTTTTGAAATCTTTAGTCTGAAATGTCCAAGTACTGCTGCCAATCACTGTAGATCAAGCATGGGCAACACAAGGTTTATAGGCTGCATATAATCCTGGGAAAGTATTTAACTTTTATATACACATGGACACATCTCTGCATAGCCACAAGCAGTCCACCATTCAACAGGATAAGGCTGAGATTTGCTGCATTTTTGCTGCTAATGGCAGCAGAAACTCAGTGATTTTCCCACAGGGATTTTGCTGATGGGAAAAGGAAACCCTAATCTCTTCCCTTTTTCTTCCAACAGAGTTAAAAATTTGGGGAAGGGGGAGTGAATATGTATGTACATATGTAACAGAGAGGCGAGAACATAAAATGTTGCCTATCCCTGCTAATAGATACATTGTCTTTTTAAAAGGCAGATTCCTATGAACACCATGAACTCCTACAATCAGGAGCAGTTCAAACTAAAAAAGACAGATTTAAACTCTTAAGTTCTGTGAAATCAATCTTAGCTTAAAAAAAAAGAAAGAAAATAACCCTAGTTGCAAAATAGTCATAAAGTAGAACTAAGTAATAATTGTTTTTGTGTATATCACGAGTTTAGGGAAAATGGAAAGAAAGCTTCATAGATATCTTTCTTCAAAATGTTACTGATTCCACATATAGGTTCATTGAGATATGTAGAGCTGAGCTGACTCAATCCATAAATAATTTTAGGAACAGAAGCTGGAACTGTGAAATGCTGGAATACTTTCTGAACATGCCAGACCAAGACAAAAAGGAGAGTTGCCACTTGAATTTGGAGGATAAGTTGATACTTAATACGAAAAATGGCAGAGCAACTTTTAGATTTGAAGGGGTGGGTAGAGGAAAATCAACAGAATGTGAGGGAATACAGAAAGATTCATCACAAGAGGATGAGTTAAAAATGATAAGATTGCACATGGAATACTGTATAAATTTTAGTCACTATATCTGAAAAGTTATAATGTAGAGCTGGAGAAAGTGCAAAAACCTCCTCAAATAACCAAATGATTAGGGGATAGAGCCATACCCCTATAAGAATGACATTTTCTATGGTTTTTTTTAGCTCGGAATGAGAGTGGACAAAGAGAGACATGATGGAAATATATAAAATCATGCATGATATGCAGAAAGATATAACTGTTTTCTTACTTTCACAATATTATATATAACTCAAAGAAATCTAATACAACTAAAAGTAGAGGGCTTCAAGATCAATAAAAGAAAGTACTTCTCTACACAGACATAATTAAATTGCAGAATTTTTTGCCAACAGTTGTCATGATAGCCTCCAATTTTAATGGGATTAAAAGGGAGCTGGACAATTCATAGAGAACTAACTTACCTTTGTAAGTAACCTTGTGGCTTCTAGAATCATAGGGATCCTAAATACCAGCTGTTTCCCAAATCCAAATGAATCTGGTTGGACGTTTAGGATGAATGCTGGACTAAATAGTCCAAATCCAGCAACACTTTTTTGTGTTTTTATGAATAAAATTTCAAGGTATCAAGGGTCTTCTCATCAACAGATCCATTGTCTGTTCATTTATAGTATTAGATGATCCAAATGCTATATGGGTTCTTTAATGTTTTAAGACTATACCTATTGCATTGCTGGAGCTTGGAATACAAATTTATCAGCCTCCATACAAGAATTACATCTGAAGGTAATACATAGATGGCATTTAACCCCAGTACAAATAATGAATATTTCTAACAACTATTCAATAAAATGTTGGAGGGGATGTAAACAGAAGGGTACATTTCTCCATATGTGGTGGACCTGTCAAAAAAGTTGTGTCATTCTGGCAGAAAATCTTCTGGGAAGTAAGATCTATAATTAAGCAAGAAGAAGAAAGTGTCCCTTACACACAGCTGCCAAATCTATAATAAGTCAACACTGGAAACTTTTAGACAATTTAACAATTGAAAAATGGCATTCAAAGATATGTTTACAGCTATGGTTGAAAAAAATCACAGGCAAAATTGAAATTTTAAATGCCCAAATGGCTGAATATAATTTATAGAATCATTATATACTATATAATATACTATTATGTATATTATATATATATATAGGGTGTAACAGTATTGTGTTAATGAAGTATTTCAATTGCTGTGAGCTTGTAATGTTGTTGGAGTAAAATAAATAAATAAATACTCTAGTCCAATCTTGTGCATATTCAATAACGTTAATTAAATTCCACAGGATTTATACCTAAATTCATATACTACTGAAGTCTTACTGCCTCATTCTGAGAAATGTCATTATAGAAGTGGAGCTGAAAAAAAAATTAATTCTTATCTAGGACCAATTTAAGAGTGCCTTGAATTTTTCTAAATCTGCTAACAGCTAAAAGAATTTCAAGTGTTTTTTTTAAAAAAAATACAAAGTGCACGTTTGCATTTTCTATGATTTCTAAATACCAAATATACTGAGATCTTGCACTAGAGGAAGAATATTTTATACCACTTAAACTGGGACTCTGTTATCACAAAATGTATTTGTCTAGTAAGATCAATTCAGTTTGGGTTCCAAGGACTCTTTTTACCCAGATCAACATCTAAAATTATAGCCAACTTTGTTCACAGAAAGGCTGTCCCAGTTTATCTTGTTTCTGGTTTCTATCTACCGGAGGACCTATATATTTCTTTTATAGAGGGGAACAACATGGATTATGCAACCCAAAAATTGCTTCTTTGTTTCATCACTGAAACAAACGTTGGGAGAGTTCTGATACGACTTATTGTGCATCTGATAGGGGTGAGTTTGCATATTTGAAGTAACTAAAAAAATGTACCAATTGGGTGTTATTAGGTTGAGTGACAAGTCATTTCTGCTGTTTGGAAGAATCTTCTGCCATCTGACTCCAAAACCAGAGAGGCTGTAGGCAGGACGATAACTCAGATATAGGCCACACAAACTGAATCCAATGGAAGCTCAGAATAAGTGACTCACATTCAGTATTGGTTAACAGAGGTTGGATTTAGATACAAACTCAGCAATCTAATGGCAGCTCAAATACTAGCTATTTAAGGTTTAATGTCTCTCCTGGACCCCAGTTAATTCCTCCCTTCTGCTACTTTTCTTTTGCTTTGGTCAGTCCACAATGCACAATGAAGATTCCTTGAAATTTCAAAAGCCTGCATGCTATTATGGAGTTATGTACTGGTCTAACTAAAATGTATTAATAAAGGTTAAGATCTATGCATTTCAAAAAGTTTTTCAATCTACTATATGTTTGATAATCATTAACTGGTTACTAAGAATACTTACTTGCTACTGAAAAGTTGTTAAGAGGATATGGTAGATCCACATCTTGAGGCTTCTCCTTATATCCTATGAAGGAGCCATCTGTCTTCAACAAGAAGTATCTTGGCCTCCAATTTTTTATATATTCCCCTATATGAGAAAACATTATTAATATAAAATAATATCTCAACTGCTGCTTGAAGTAGAATTGTCAACTGATCAGAAAAACTGATAGTCTCATACTCTATCTAACTTCAGTCCAGAGAAACCAGATAGACTAAATAGGTGAAGTTAGCAATGAAGTTCCTTAATTTTTTGTACTTTTAACTAAACATAAACCTCAAACATGATTTACATATAAAACTAGGCTTATTGTATTCACTGGATTATATCCTGGTGGAAGTGTTTTTTGTGGAAGAATGCGTACATTCAGAAAATATCAGGTGAGCTGCAAAGCAGTTGTTTTAAGCCATCAAGAGACTGCAACAGCTTTATGTCTTCACAACTGAGACCCTGAAAGGCACACTGCTATTCCTATTATTTCCACCTTCCATTGACATATGTAACCCTTGCAAACTCATATACAGATCTATCACCATCTCAGTACCTAAAAATCATTAGGGCATTACATCCTATTCTTATCAGTTGTTCTCGCAGTGATATACATATAAATATGCACAGGGTTTACAAATATTCGCTATACATACTAGTGTCTTTTTGTGTCAATCATCAACTAATTATCTGGCTTATGTTCAAAAGCATGTAAGAAAGGCAAGAATTTCACCAGTTTATACTGAAGTGCAAAAAAACTGGTAAGCAACTTTAGCTAATCTTGAAAAAGCTAACTAGGATCAGGCCTGATTGGTACTTAGAGACGAGACCACCATCCATACCCCAATGCTTCAGACTACACTGAAATATTTTTTAAAAAAATCCCAATGGTTATAACAAATTATTTCCATATTGCTGCCAAAAAGACTTCATAGATGAACTCTGTAGTTGAGCTACACCTAAGACAGTTTACTTTTTATAGAAAAATAAGAATGAACAGAAACTTGTGTAACTTTTTCTTTATCCCTAGTGCAAAAAACAAAAGAATATACAGGAACTCTTTCCTTTTTTCCTCCAAATTTTATTTATAAATTACAAGAAAAAGTAGACAAAACTCACAACCCAGGAGACTATTCACTGATGTGGTGATATCACTGGAAGGACCTGGTTGAATTTGGGGGGGGGGGGGTGGGTTTGGGG